GTGAGTCAGGGGCGGGTTGTCCCAGTAAGAAGCCTGGCACCAGAAGGTACCCAGCACAGCACACGGCGACAACAATGTGAACTCATACACAAAGTGATTGCTTTCCTTTCCTAGACGGCCCACATTGACCTTTCCAAGATCTTGCCTGAGCAGAGACGCACACCCAGCTCTCCCAACGAGGTGCTCTCATGATGATATCTGATCCACTTAGGCCGGCTGTCTGGGTATAGTACCATGCCGGGTAGGAGACAGATGGCATACTCACACTGGGTGATTTGAGGATAGTTTCATGAAAGGACTGTTTTCAAAACCTCAGCAGAATATAAGGAAATCATAAAGGATAGTGCAGTGTCAGGGCACCACTACAACCCCCTGGGCCGGGAGAAGAGGGGCAGCTCAGAACCTGAACGCAGAGGCTGTGTGGAGAGGGCCACCTCGCCAAGGCGGGGACCCTTGCTTTAGAAGACTTCAGGACCTCAGAGACTCCACAGGGCATGTGCAGGGACTAATGCTCCCACCTCTCTTCCCTCCAAACTCCTGACTTCACGCCAGAATTCCTTCCTGATTGGCCAAACCCGAAAGGAAGCCACACAGGTTTGTTTCCATGGACACGGAGCAGAGTGGATCAAGGCGGGGAGACATCTGGAGGGGAGATTCACAGCACAGAGTTTGACTCGACACTAGAGTTCATGTCACAGCATCCGAGCTCATTCTGGCTCATTGAAAATTGATGAGTTTATGTCATCATCAGCCAGTAGAAAGAGCAGGGGGTGGATCTGGCCTCAGAGATGAGTTGATTCAAGATTTAAGTACTCTCAGGCTTTTCAGGATGTGTCTGAATATTGGCTTCGTCCTCAGGCCGCCTGCCCCAAGAGGCCCCACGCCACAGCGGGTGATGGACACAGAGACAGCTCTTCTCGGCCAGTTCCTGTTGGGGAGGAGAAGGGCGGGCTCAGATTGGCCCATTTGGCTCACATGTTCATCCCTGGAGCAATCGCTGTGGTGGCCGACTGGACATGGTGCTCTAATTAGTCCAGCCTGGATAACGGGCCACCCCTGTGACTGTGGGCAAGGTCTGTTTCCAGGGCGGGGGTCATGCCAGCTGCTGAGTGTGTCTGTTCCAATTATCCATTCCAGAACTTGAGAAGTAACCACAGGGTGGAGTGGGAGAACCCCTGGACCTATTGTGAGATGGACCTGGGCTAAACCCCATTGATTACCTTGCCTCACAATAAGCCCCTGCTCCAATAGGTGGACCATGGTGACATTTGGGGTCTCCTGGAATTAGTCAGCTCAGAACCAGTGTCCAGTAATTCTGAAAACCTGCCTACTTCCCTCTCCCCAATGCAGTGATCCTGGTGAATGGCTGTAGGCCCCCTCAGGGGAGTCTGGGAGGGAGATTAATATACATTTGGGGTAATATAGTCAGGTCCTTCCTTAAGGGGACCCAGCCTCCCTTTCATTCAGGGGCTCTGGGTCTATAAACTGGCTCAAGTCTGGACTATTATTAGAAGGGACGCAAGAGGGCACCTGGCAAATAAACACACTAGAAACCACTTTGCACAGCAGACCCAGGGAACGTGTGGAATGTGTGCGGCTAAACTGAAACTAAGACACAGAAGCCGCACCTCAGAACAGGGCCTGGCACACAGCTAGCATTTATGAGCATTACACATGATCTCAGCAGGTGCCTTGGCTCACGGGGAGATGTTAATAGTAATAATTCCTCGAAAGAGCCCTGTTTTACACATGAGAGGTATGCCACGTAGTGAGGTTCAGCAGTATTTCTACCTGAGGCTGTGGGCTCTGAGCCGGGAAGCTGAGCTGGTCCCGCCTGGGAGGTCTCCCCTGGGAGGTCCCACCCTCCCTGTAGCTCCTGCAGGTGGGCCAGGTGAAGGAGCCAATGCTTCCAGGGTCTTTGGGTTTATTGATCCACGCGATTCTTGGTCTGACTAGGGCTGGGTCCATCGGAGCTGCTAAGACAGTGGACTTGAACTTCTCAGGCAGTTTAATAGCTGAGTCGACGGACCTTCTGTCCCTGTGACAGGAACTTGAAAGGTGTCCAGACTTCACCCCTGACCCTGCGCCTTGAGCTCCGTTGGAACATCTGACGTTCTCTCTTCAAATGAATGACTCGGGCTTTGTGAGGGCTTGGCAGGACTGGAATCACAGCTAAGGCTCAGCTGTCCCCTGCTACCACCAGCTCTAGACACATTACAAAAACCGAAACGTGGATTTCTATCCACAGCCAGCGAGTCCTGATTCACCGCCTGCCATGCTGGTTGAGGGATGCTGGAAATCCAGGACAGGAAGTAGCTTCTCCACTTCCTCCTTTGCAGAGGGTGTCACATCACCTGAAGTGGCCTCTCCCACATGTGGGGGAAGTGTTGGACATGCGAAAGAGATTATTTTTTAAAAAGTCCCAGGAATGGGGATGGGACTGAAGTGGACAATGCTTAGCCCGCAAAAGACCCCAAAGTGGGCTTTCACTGTGTGCAGTGGTCTCCAGGAAGAGGCTGCGGGCCAGTCGTTAATTCAGTGAATACTTATCACGAACTAACCACGTGCCAGGTATTAGCAGCCTGAGGAACCAGTGAGGGACGTGGGTCAGTGGGACATAGATTGTGATTTAAAGGTCATTTTCTCCCTCACTTTGTGTCCACAGTGGGCCAGTTGGGGACTCTGTGCCTCACCTCCTCACTGCAGGACCCGAATCAGCAGCCAGTATCTTGAAACCTGACTGTCAGCATGACAGACAGAAAGGACGTGCCGGAGGGTCTCACCCCAACAATTAATGCTCCAGCCAGGAAGTGACCTCTGTCACTTCACGTATGTTTTATTGGCCAGAATTAGTCACATGATTGCACCCACTCAGGAGACCAGAAGCGCCACGTGCCATGTGCCTGGGGGCTGGGGAGCTGGGAAGAGCTGCTGACCAGCAGGACATCAGGATGGGCTGGGGGGCGTGTACAGGATCCTTAGTCCAATATGCACACTATGGAATAGTGATCGCTTAATCACGGTGAGTGGCCACGTTCCTACTAAGTCTCTGCCCATGAGCAGACGAGGACGGTGGCCAAGGACACACAGGCAGCCGATGGGAGAGCCGACGTATCCAGGCTGCTTGGCAGAACTGTGGGTCATCATAAAATAAAGTTCCTTCGAGAAGATGACAGAAATGTTCATATTACAGTATGGAGTGGCAGATATGTCGAAATATTATTTATGCTCATCACTATTTTTAAATTACAGTAATTAGACCAACTGCAGAGCTGTTTACTTAACGCTTCAGTCAAGAAGCTCGTAGATTACCATGTCACAAGTTTGCTTTTTTAAAAAAATATTCTGATTTTTTAAAAAAACAAAAAAAACTACCTTTTACTCATTCTGGAGCAGGACACGGAGGTGCCCACGTGAGAAGCAGCCGCATTGAAATCTAGGTCCTGACATCTGCCCTGTGGCTTCTGACTGTAGCCCCCAAGGGAAGGTGGGGGCCGGGGCAGAGCAAGGCCAAGGAGACACGGGGGCGAGGCCTGGGAGGCTGCTAACAATCTCTCTGACCCTCCCAGGGAGCGAAGTCCAAGAAGGACGATAAAATAAAGACTCCTCCACCCCATGAACTGATTTCAGCCCTCGCTGCTGTTATTGTAGGAAATGCGAGCCCCAGCACTGGGCCGACAGCCTGCAAACGCCACGCTGTCACTTTGCTTGTATAGATGAGAGCACTGAGGGTTCAGGGACAGTTCCGACCTCAGGCTGTGGGAAGAAGACTCGAGTCCCTGCGTGGAAAAGCTTCGGATATGGGTCTGCACACTGGTCTCCAGGCCTAACCCAGCCCAAGGTCCATGTATAGCCCACCAGTAAAGGAGGACTTCTATGGAATCATTTTATTAAATGGTCAGAGGGGAAATCAGAACCTTTGGTGACCCATGACCATGACATGACACCTGAGCTCCCGCCCCATAAACAAAGCTTTGCTGGCCCCAGCCACGCCGGTTCAGTCACGTGTGCACCCTGCTGCTTTCCTGCCGCACAGGCAGAGCTGGGCTATTGCACTCCCTGCCCCTTACAGAAGCCGTTTGCCCACCCCTGCCTTAGAAGGCCCAGCCCCTGAAACGGGGTGTTCTCTCAGCGGGACGGCTGTGGTGACGCAGCGGAAGTCGTTAAGTGTTAAGGTCCTCACAGGAGCAGCCTGTTTGCCCGATGAGCCTCTGGGGAAGCACCAGGGGGAGCGAGATGGAGCCGAGTGGCAGCCGACGCTTCAGAAAGGAGGACCTTTCCTACGAGCCCGGCAGGAAGGAGCCCGGCTTCGTGGGACTTCGCCTCTGGCCTGCTGCTTTTGTCCAGTCTTGCCTTCATCCCAGAGCTGGGACAGAAGCCCGCAGTCCTCAGGTGTGTTCCCCACATCAGCACAGCATCACCTGAGACCTGGTTAGAAACAGACTCTCAGCCCCATCCTGGACTCACGCTGGGTGGGGGGTGGGGGGGCACAGTACGTATTCAGGGGCCCTCTGCCTGGGCAGGATGCTGAAATCGGAGAAGCACTGCCCCCTGGAAGCTCTGCCCTGGTGGCCCCAGACATCACCCCATGCCCTGCCTGCCTCTCTCAGGTCAGGAGGCCCCTATCTTCAGGCAGCTCCTGCAGGTTGCAGGAACTGCTTTGTCTTCAGTGTGGAGTTCATACTGTGCAGCTTTCTCTGCCTGCTTGTCCTTCTGCACACAGACACAGGTGAAAAAGGGCAAAAGAGGTTGTCTCATGTTTTGAACTAAGATTCCTCAGCCGGAAAAGAAAAACAAAAATCAGCAAATTGGTGTCAGCTCTGGTGAGGTCTTTGCAGGGGTTTGTAAGAGAAAGTACTGCCTGCAGTGAGGTGCACGTCTTGTTCTCTGTCCCTCGCTCTAGAAAGCCTTCCGACTGGGGTTGAGGCCGGAGGAGGCTGTGTCAGCGTGGCTTTTATCACCCACCCTTTTTTAGTGAAGGAAGACCAAGACACATTTGCAAACGTGCCATAGAGATTTTAATGAAAAAATTAGAAAAGTGCATTATTTTACAACACTACAGTAAATGATTCTTCCTTTTTCTGTAAAGACATTGTAAAATATATACAGGGTTGCTTAGTGCATTCGTTACAAAAGAAAGATGCAATCTGTTGCATAAATTACATATTTTACATGGGCTGGATGTCTACTTGGACTTGTAAACATTGGTCATACAGTTTTGTGTTTTTTTTTGTTTTTTGTTTTGTTTTTTTTTTCATTCTTCAGATAAGCTGCGAGAATAAATACCTCTGATATTCGTTTGATGGTTGTCTCATTCTGTTAAGCTTCAGAACGGCATTCTAAGGCCATTTGTGAAGGCGCCCTCTCCACAGGCGGAGAAGGCCAGAGAAGATAGACAAAGGAAAACAGACAGTAACAGTTAACAGTAGGCTTCTTTGAATTTGGTTCACTGTGGTCCAGTCGGAATCACTGGTTTGGCCACACCTGGTACGGCTTTCCACCAAAGGTCTGATGCCTCGGCCGCAGTTGGGCCTGTCGTCCAAATCCCAAACTCCCACCAACGTGGGCAGGTGGGTCCCTGCTAGGAACTCGGGACAAACCATTCCATCGTCCTGGAATGTGGCCAAGCTCACCCAGCTTCGGGGAGAAATTCCTGATTTCCATCCCCCTCCCCGGGGACTGTTCTAGAGGGTCCCCGGCAGCAGTATCCCCATCAGGACAAACCCAGGTCCTCCTACACTCAATCATGAAGATGTCCAGCAAGGCCAAAAACAGACAAACAACAACAACAAAAAGACCCAAAGATACCCAGTCAGCGCATACACGCACGCACGTCCCAAGTGAATGTGTGAGGGTCTGCACCTCCACGCCCACCACCCCCCAGAATGAACCCCCTGCATGTGTGTGCCAATCATTTTCATTCATGGATGTGAGTTTAGAACTAAGTCAAGCTTAACTTCTATGCCTGGGGTTCCCAGTGACACCTGTCTTCTTTTTAATGTGTTGAGGTACAAGGGTACACAGTTGGCTGAAGTTAAAAATTGTACATCTTAGAGGGAGCATCAGCAATGTCTTGGCCTGCTGGGAGCAGACAGAAAATCCTTCCTCCTTGTTAATGCAGTGGTTCAAACCCTACTTGTCTTTGGTGTCTCTGCCTGTGTCTCCTGTGCTTGTTTAATTGCAAACCTTCTGCGGATCACTTAAGGACATGCGAGAGTGCCTCAGATATTCCAGCTGGGGTTAGTCCGTATTCCTGCCCAAATTTTGCTCAAGAACACCAAGTTTCACCTACTCCAATGCCTTGTCTGTTCCATGGAGATTTCTGATGAAGCAGAGGGTGGACTGAGATGACCTCTGGAGGTCCCTTCCAGTCCCCAACGGCTGTCAAAATGCTATTTGTGGGCCAAATAAACAAATATATAATGAGCCTTTTTCAGGAGGGTGTTCTTCTCGGAGGAGCCATCAAATTACAGAGAAGTCTTGTTAATTGTGTTAATTGTGGGTTCTGCTTCATGGGGCTCCCACCAATCCTGTTCTCCCTTGCACTGGATTTTTATTTTTCTACCCAACTTCTAAAACTCAGCTCGAGAAAATGAGGCGATTGCCGAGGCGTGTTCTGGTTCCACTACCTGCCCATCAGACCCTTTTTCCAGACCTCGGGCCTCTTGGAAGCATGTGGTCCATTGGAACTGTGGCCTCAGGAGGCCAGGGACCTGGACTGTCCAGTGTATCACAAGGGCCCGCACTGAGGCTGGTCATGGCAGGTGCCCACAGCTCTAAATAATCACTGAATGAATGGCTCAATCGGCGCGCCATAATGCACAGAGGGGGCCCTAGCTGCTTCGTCCTCTTGGGTTAAGGAAAGGTTAGGACTTTCTGTAAGGTTTATCATGAGAAAGGTGGGCTTTGGTTTCCCTGGAAAAGTCCCACCCACACTGTCGCCAAGCATCTGGCCCATTGGGAGCTGAGATTTGGGACCACAAAGGAGAAACACAGATGGAAAAGTCAGAGGAGCTGGGTAGAAACCTGATTCTTTGGATGTCGGAGGGCTGGAGGACAACTGTGCCTGAAACCTGTCCGGGCAGGGAGGGGCTGGCCCAGCTTAGGAACCCTAGGCCGGGACGACTTGGCCTCCAGACTCACCCCTCCCCCAAAATGCCAACCCAAAGCCTGGTATATAATGACCCTTATGTCCTTTCATCTTCACCAGCCCACCTGGGACATACCCGCTTCTCACCTGCCCATTTCATCCTTTGTAAGAGAGGCTGGGAAGTGATGTGCCCAAGGCCACATGGCCCAATTACAAAGAGGAAAGAAGGGGGAAGCCACACGGGTGCTTGCCAAGGCCCCAAGGCCTCCGCCACCCAATGCTAAGGAGCTGGAAGAGGCAAGGCTGAGGTTTGATGTTTTTAGTGGCCAAGGCTTAGAGCTGAACCAAACAGACCTCCCTCCTCAACCAGTAGCCGCTCTCTGGATGCTGGAGGTCTCCAAGAAGCCAGACAGGCGCCTCTGGAGAGGCTGGAGCTAAGAGCCAAGAGTGACGGGAAGACAGGCAGCATGGAAAGCTCCCCAAGTAAAAAGGTACGTGGCCCTCAAAGGCATCCTCCTGTCTTCCCTCCAGCCCGATTCCGCCTGTGCTGGGACCGATGGTCCACCAGTCAGGGAGACGCAGCTGACAGGAAAGCCACGGCCTCCCCAGTTCCCTGCCAACTTGTGTGTCCCACGAAGCTTCAGAGAAGCCAGGAGCCTCCACAGGCCAGGGCTTTCCACCTCCGAGCCTCCGGAACAATCCCACTCCTCCACAGCCTTTCTACACAGGTGAGGAAACAAAGGCTCAGAGAGATGGGGTACGGTCACGAGGATGCCGCGTCGGAACACTGAAGTCTCCTAACCTGTTCTCACTTCTGCCTCCCAGGAGAGGTGACCTGCCCAGAAGACACAGCGCCAACCGTGGAGGGGGTTCAGCAGAAGCTCTTTCACCCCATTGATGCCTGGGCCCTCTGCCCCAAGCAGGGGGACACTGTGGACACGCAGCGCAAAGAACAGATGAGCAAAGAGAAGTGTGTGTGTGTGTGTGTGTGTGTGTGTGTGTGTCAGACAATCTGCATTTGCACAGGGCTGCACTGCACGTAGGTCTGAGCCCCGTCATGGTTCACCCCCAAGCAGGGCAAAGACAGTCAACTTGAGGCGACTGGCGCCTGTGGCTTCTGTAAGCGGGGGACAGGTCCTCCACAAATTAAAGACATCCTGAAATAAGGACAAACAGAGGCTGTGGCAGGAAAGAGCAGAGGTGCGTGGAAAGGCAAAGCTGGGCTCAGGTTTAACTGGAAGGCAGATCCTAGGGAGTCCTAACCCTCCTCTAGCAAGTGAGGGTGAGCCCCATAGATGAGGACGGCCACGGCCACGGCCCCGGCGGGCCGGGGTTTCTCTCTAGAACAGGGCACCTTGTGGAGTCAGGATGTAGGACAACCTATCAAGGAAACTAAGCAGAGATGCACCGCACAGAGCTGTTGGTTGTAAAGACCCTGATGCCATTTTTAAAACAAAGCGTCCAAATGGGAGAGAGTTGGTGGCAATAGGTGTCTAGGGGAGGTACTGACGGCAGGAGTGGGACTTGGAAACTGGGGACCTTGGCCGAACCCCCTTATCTGGAAGAGAAGAAACTCAGGCCCAGAGAAGTGAAGTGACTTGCCCTACGTCACACGGCAAATGACAAAACCAGTTTGAGCCCTGGTTCAAGCCACATTCTTGAGGCTGGACTTCCTTCCATCCAGCCGAAGTCTCTCCTCAGCCGCCACTGCCCAGAGCCCCACGTTGCAATGCCTGTGGGTCAGCTCCACACCAGGAGATGCCTTGACCTTGGCAATGAGTCCTGACACATCCCAGACACACCAGTAAGAACAGAGGTCTAAAAACAGACAATGAACCTTCACCCCAGAGCCACCAGCACTCCCCACAACAGCAGACACCCCTGGCTCTTCTGCGGACACCTTCACTCAAAGCACCCTGCCCTCAGCACCAGACCCCCAAGAGGCCCCAACTCCAGCAGAGATGCAGAAGGAGAGCAGGAGCCCATGTGAGCATCTCGGGTCCCCACGAGGCCTTAGGCACATCAGTCCCTGAGGCCCTGGCCACAGGCACTCCCGAAGTCTGCTGTCCTTAGAGTTGATCAGGAAACAGCAAATTCTTCATGCCAAGTGAGCCCTAGAACTACACAACATTTTTCTTGTTATTTTCACACAAATCTTTGATCAACTCTTAGAAGACTTCATTGGAACAGGTCCCCAGGATGCTTAGGTGAAAGACCCAGTAGATCTCACCCACAAATAGTCCCAGACGCCAATTAGCGCTAATGTCCACAAGAGAAAACAGAACAAAAATAAAACTACTTAACTCCAGCTAAACCACAAGACTGCAGAGAACTGAAATTTGGTGAGACTCCAGGACCTATTTTCAGAGTTTCGTGATCGGAGGAGGACCCAGTAGGGGCATTCGGATGGAAAGCTCTTCGGTGGAAGCCCAGGACTCGCGCTGTGGTTGTCAGAGCGAAGGACCTAGAAATAAACTTCCTGTGTGGGCACTGGGGGCCATGGAAGGTTCTGGAGCAGAATAGCCCGAATGACTTAGGCTGTGACCGGCTCGCAAAGGGCCTTGACGATGACCCGTCGCATCTGTTGGGTGTGGCTCTGGGGCGGGATTCCACCGACCACTGGATGAAGTGCGTGTTCCCTGCCCTGCCACTCTGTGCCTTTCCACAAGCCTGGCCTCTGCCTAAAGCAGCGCCCATTGCTCCTTCAAGGCGCTCCTCCAAGATGACCGAAAGCCCCTTCTTCCGTGAAGCCCTGCCTGAGTTCCTCGACCAGACCCAATCACTTCCTTTCCATAGTTTGCTCTCAAGTCAAAGGCCCCAGGAAACCTGGCCGGGCCTTTACGAGAAATGCAAACACGTATGAGGACACTAGCACAGCCCTGGGCGCACAGTAGGTGCCCAGGAAATGTCATCACGTACAGATCTCATTGCCACTGTGCAGTAAACGGGGTTTATTTATAATCTCCAGTATAAAGGTAGGGAAGCTAAGGCTCAGAGAGGCAAAGCCACCACCCACCTACGAACAGCAGAAGCTAGTCTCAGGTGTGGGATGCCACGATCTGAGTAGTTTCTGCCCACCAGGCTGTGCCATGGAGACAAGGAGTCTGCCCCCTGCCTCTGTCTAGAGCCCCAAGCTCGTGCCGGGCAGGTGCAGAGCCGAGGCTGGGGGACCCTGTCCCTCACTGCACAAGGTCCCACACTCTTCAGCCTCTGCTGGAAGCACGTCCATGAAAAAACAGTGCTGACCTGGCTTCTGGTGACATTCCCATCACAGTGCTCACCCACTGCAGGGTGAAATGTCACAAGTGCGTTCCTGGAATCTGAAGACGTCCCCATCACCCGCTTTATGGGAAATGCCCAGCTGTGGACAGCTCATGGCCCTGTTGCACATGGTACACTCAACTCTGCCAGGCACGTGCCATTAGATAGCTCGTGATGGGGTGATAGGTTTTCGTCACATGGCTGTGCATTGGTTTCCAGGGGGTGGGACATGCCTGCGCTGCAGTTAGGACAGGCCTTGATAGCAGCGATGAAGGGCCACTTACGCAAGAAGCTAGGATGCTGATTGTCTTTAGTCCCTCCTTGGTGCCGCCCAGCACGTGCAGTTCCCAAGACCAGGGCCATCGAGTCTGCTTCCCAATAGGTTTGTCCATGACAGAAAGGACTAGGCAGCCCAGAGGAGGGCATCGCTGAGTCCATCAGTGGGCAAAAGGTCAGAAGAGGCTTTTAAAGGATGAGTGAGATGCTCCCATCTCCGGCTCCGTGCTGGGGAGTAGCAGGGAGACCTTCCACGTAGCAGGACAGCATTGGCAGAGGCTCAGAGGCGGGAACATGCGCGGGCATCTTTTCTTGATCAAAATGAAATATTAGCCACAGCAGCTGGACTGCTTTATGTTATCAGAACTGAGAAGGCCGTGCTATGGAACTTGCCAGCACAAACACCTCAAAGAGGTCACAAAATATAGCCCTTCGTGGCCAAAATCACACTGATGTAACAAAATTACATTTTTATGATGATTGATTGTAGGAAGGGCTTAGCAATCATCACCACTCATTGAGAAGCTACTGGGTGCCAAAGTCCCCCAACAGGCTCACAGGGACCCTTACAACCACCCTATTGGGGTACGCCTGCTAGCCAGCTTCACAGTTGATGAGAGAATATCACTGGGCTTTGTGTCTATTTATAGCTGGCTTATCCCCACAGGTGCTTGGGGGACAGACTACTGATGCTCAGCACAAAAGACAGACCCACATGAAAAGTCCGAAATAGCAGCGCCTTGCTCAGCTTTGACAATGAGGCCCGGCATCCAGGAACTCATGGCCGTCCCTCTTGAAGCGTCAGTGAGTGTCTCTAACAGAGGAGACATTTTAATATGACTCATTTACCTACAATGAGAGGTAATCAGAGTTCTCCAGGGAGCTGGCCATGGCAAAGGCGTTAGTCACGGCCAATGTTTTCTTGCCTAAAAGTCCTTAACCTGAGGAGACCAGCGGACAGAAGCAGACCGTGGGGCTTCCCACAAGAGAGATGGCCCAGGCTCTTCGAAATGGCAATGCCGTGAAAGACAAAAACGGTGATGGAGAACGTGCTAGACTGGGGGAGTCTGCGGCAACCAGACAAGCAGTGTGGGAGTGCTCCTGGATTGCCTCTGATTCACACACACACACACACACACATCCTTGGAGGGCATTTTTGGGACAACTGGGGAAATGTGAAGGTGGGCTATATTTCAGATAATAAAGATTATGTGAACGCTCCATTTCTTTGGGGCGTAACGGCACTGCTATCTAGGAGATGCTCTTGTCCCTGGGAGATCAATACTTTTTTCTTGGGCTGAACCACCTGAAAGGTGCAGACGTCACTTCATCCTCCAAATACCCCTGAGGGTGAATGGGGGGGGTGGCAGGGTGGCAGGGTGGGAGGCTGGGAGAGGATTAAGCCAATGCAGCAGTTTACTGGAGGCTGGTGAGTCTGGGTGGAAGTTCTAGAGGAGTGCATCATACTCTTCTTTCAGCTTCTCTGTAAATCTGGAGTTTTCAAAACAAAGTGGGCAGGGGTGGGGAATCATGGTAATATAATGTTTTCCCCCCCCTGAAACAGCAGCCTTGACCAAAGTGTGGTCGAGAAAGAACCACATAAAATGGACGTATGCCCAGGGCTTTAGGGAACCCGAGATGCACAGGGCCTTGATTCTCATGATGTCACCATTGTTCTTGGTGGCACTGCCTGCTCCCCCTCCATCTTCCCAGCTCCCAGCACCCTGCCAAGCAAAGTGATTTTTTGGTTTTCTTTTTGGTGGCTCAGCCTTTAGATGTGCCCAGTAACCAGAACATCCAGGCCAAGTTCATTTTGTGCTAAGTGCTCATAAATCCTGTCCCATTGTGTCGATGAGGAAGCTACAGAGACCTAGGCAGGCGAGGTGACTTCCAGCAGCCCGGGGAAGCAGGCCGCGTGGGTGCGGTCCCTGCCCTGCCCACTTTACCTTGCCAGGGATGCTTCCAGGGTCTCCCATGAACCATGACTCTGGAAGAAACACACTTTAGACCCCCAGGCAAAAGGCCCCAAGTCACACTCCTTTCAAAGCAAAGCTTCGATTCACTGGAGTGTTCCCAGATGACGGCGTCCGTTGCCCTAATAGAATGGACACATTCCATGTCTCAGACCTTGCACCTCTGTGGATGCCCTTGACCAGTATCTTAATTAAGGCTTATTATTTAAAAAAGAAGATTGAATAGAGCAATGGAGCCATAAACGTCAGTGATGGTGACTTTCCTTTTTGATCATTTTTTTTTTTGCTCCCTTGGCTCCCTCTCCAACTCAATGCCCACAGACACAAGTGCCTCTAAACCATTCTGTCACTAGGAATCAGGACCCACAAGGATGAGACAGAGAACATGGCCTGCCAGGGCTATCTGTGGGTTTGACTTACTGTCCAGGTGTTTTCCCAATCAAAGCTGTGTGCAGAGAACAAACGGCGAGCCCAGATGAATAGTCAATCTCCTTTTTTATGGATGGGTTTTAATGAGCACCCACACAGAAGGGCCTCCTGGGCAGCGGTCTGCATCCATTTGCTTCCTCTCCTGGAAAGGCTGGGGACCCGGGGGGTTCCTGGGCTGCAAATGACCTATTGTGATCAGGCAGAAGCCTGGGCACCCCCTAACAATCGGTGATGCACAGCAGCACAACAGATGCTTCAGAGAGAGCATTTAAATTTCGAGCACCAGGCAGCCCACTGTGCTTAAAGGGCTGCCACCTGGATTTCAGGACAGAAGGGTGCAGATGGAAAAAAGAGGTCTGATCCCAGCTCTGCAGCTCACCAGGTATCTCAAAAGCCAGACAGGTTGGTTCACTGCTAGGTGAAAAACAGAACGGCCCGATGAGATGCCAGCACCTTTCACCCAGGATGGGTGTGATGAAGATTAAAACAGGGTAGTTTCTAGAAAGCATTGAGCCCTGAGCTGTCTGCGATCAATACCATTGTCCTTTTCCTCCTGACTTTGATGGAGTGGATGCATTGCGGTCTCAGTTGGAAGACACTCAAGCGAGAGGCTGAACTCTCTTTAAGCATCTACAAGGCGAGCTGGTTTCCAGACCCCACCCCTGGGACTGGGTGGTGGGCCAACGTCCTATGATTCTGGTGGAATTTCAGCCCATTCTAGCAGGTGAACTCTGTATCCACACGATCTGATGTGGTTTCTTCCCCTCACTGAATGGGCGCGGCTAACAGGAAGGAGGGGTTGAGAAACCCGGGCTGAAAGAAAGAAATCACCAGGTGGGAGAGGGAGGAAGACACACCTGGGCCTGAGATGCTCCAAAGCCCAGCACTGAGGGCTCTTCAGACCGTGTAAGCAGCAGCAGGGACCCAAGCAGCCAGGGAAGGAGGAGAAGGAAAAACGAGGGGGAGACCTGTTCTGGTCGAGTGGCCTTAGATATGTGTTCACCCTTTCTGGACCTCACTGTCCCCCTCTGAAAATGAGCGAGCGTAGTGAGGTGACTCACATTGCGCTTTCTCCTGGCCTTTGAGAATTCTAGTGCTGATTGGATGAGCAGGTCTCAGGTGGCCATGCGCTACAGGTGCCCCAGTCTCACTTTACCACCAGAGAAGAACCCTGGAGACCCCTGACTCAGTGCCCCAATGAAAGCACGTCATCACTGTGTCTGCAGAACTCCTTGGCCAGGGGCCATGCTAGGGAACAGACAGACCATCAGCGAAAAAGATGGATGCCACAAGGAAAGCAAACTGAGGTTCACCTCCACCCCCTGAACACTGAGCATAAACAAGGATGTTGAACTTCAGAAGACTCCGTGATTGTCCTGCAAAGGGCCAAACTGGTGGCAAAGGGCAAGGAAGCAGGAGGGATACAGAACCAAGACAAATTCCAAGTGGTTTCAGATATTTAAGTCAGTGGTGATCACACAATCAGAAAAAAGACTTCGTCCTACAATCCTTAATCAACTCTGTGGAAATAAAGAATATGGAACATTGTCTATGTCTCCCTGGGCAGGGAGGGGTCCCTGGACACTGGTAGGAGTCGAGGAGGAGGAGGCCACTTCATGACCGTTTTGCATCTTAGTGGGGACCAGTCCTGAATGACAGGTTGAGCTGGCGTTCCTCTGACTGACTCCAAGGCCTGGTGCATTGACCCGTGGAGAAAGAGAAGCAAGCTCCCTCACCTGAGGGCTGAATTACAGTGCCATGGTGTGGTGGAGTCAGCTCCTTGGACCTTTTGGGGTCCAGGTGAAGCTATTCTTTCATTTCTGTCAAGGACCAGCTCTGTGACATTGAGCAAATCACTCATCCTCTCCGTGCCTCAGTTTCTTCTATAGATCAAAGATTTTCACCGACACACACACACACCCATTTGAGGGCAAATCTTACAAAGGTTTTCAGGAGGAACCCTACCCATATTCCAAACAGCCTCTTCCAAAGCATAAAGCACTGCAGATATGCATTAGTATTTTTGCACCTAGGATCCCTTCCAGCCAACAATCTCTTCCAAGAGAAAAAAATAAAGAGCAACTGTTTCTATTTTCTGCAAAGACGGTAGAGCCCTAAAGTTAAAAACAAACAAACAACAAACAACAACAACAAAACCCTTAAAAGACAAGTGAATTGATACAGACCTTGGAGACTGATAACCGTCCACTTTGGCCTAGAGAATCTGAGGTTCCCAGACTCCTCCTTTATAGGCCCTGTGCTCTGCACGAATGGGGCCATTTTCAATCGGGATGTGCCATGAAAGTATGCGCCTTTTCAGAGGAGTCTTCAGTGCTGAGTTTCAGTTCCAATGGCCCAAATGCTTGGGGCTGGCAGCGTTTGCTGCCGTCTCCTTTAAGAAATCTTCTAGGTTTACTCTTCCTGGAGAGCAAATCCTCCATTCTGGACGATCCCACGGGGAGTCCCCCTGCTCCCTCTGAACAGCACAGCCAAAGCCTGTTTCCATCAGGAGCCATGAACGTCCCCCTTATGAAAAAGGAGTATGCGATGATGATCTTTAGACATGGTAGGGACGGTGACAGGGGAAACGTAAGTCCCCTCTGCGAATTTGGAGATCAGGCTTTCCTTTATTCCTGTCATTACAAGGGCCTCCAATGTACCATCTGTAGCATAACTGTCCCCCAGGAGAGTAACAGGCCTTCCCTTCTGGGTCATAATTTTAGTGAGAATGGGAAGGAATTTCTCCACTACTCAGAAAAATTGTCCCCTGAGATTGACAAGTTCCCAGCAGGCCAAGACACAGCTTCCTGCCTCTGAACTCTTCCTGAGACCAACATGCTAGCATCTTCCCCTTATTTACAAATCAAATGCGATTAGAGACCGTCTTTCTTGAAACACATACAGATATATATTTTTAATGAGGAGGAATGCCCTGTCTTTTTTTTTTTTTAATTAGGAAAAGAAACCACATCCACCTACTAATACCCATTCTCATCCACGCATCCCAAACGGTAATTCTTATTCATGCAGGTAGACGCTGCATAAATCACCATCGTCATCATATAAATAAGAGGGAAATAATAAAATAGGTATTTTGCTGTTCCAACAATTTTCCAGTTTACCCTGATACTTCCAGTTGCGTGGTAAATTGCTGGAACTGGAGATGATAAAATTAAAAATGTCTTTAATAAATTAATATTATCGTTGGCGTTTGATTATTCCATTGCTAGTTTTGTCTTTTGTGTGTGTGTGTTGATAATGCATACCAGTTTAACAAAGTGCATGCTTTTAAAAAATTTTTGAACTGGCAAGCTAAAACTGATCCATGTCTTCCTGCCCACCCACCCCCCTAAAAAGAAGCTAATATAATTTAGAACCTAGCATTTTAAAAATATGGTCATGACACATCTGGGATAAAGGCTGCTCATGGAACATGCTTGATTTGGTAAGATGATAAATCAAAAACCTCGTGGGTTTTTTCCTGTTTCGTTTGGAAGCAGCTGAAAGCAAGCTATTAACAAAACTGTGTGATGGAAAAGAAATGAATACCTGGTACTTTCCATTTTGTCACATGATACACATACACACAGAAGCACACTTGCGTGCGCACTCGTGCACACACTCATCCCACACACGTGTACACGCACACGCACACGCACAGCCACCCACTCCTTGGGGACGACAGGAGAAGAAAGGAGTTAGGTCAGAGACACCACTGTGGGTGAGCGCTTGAAGGCTACGGGCCTGGTGTGCAACTTTGGGTTGGGTATCCTCTCGGCTCCGTCTCCTGGTGTTGGTCTCACACCTGTCATGAGAAAGCCACCCCTGAGCTGGGGCGGGCTGGGGAGAAATGTAAGGCATACGTTGCTGGGAAGGGAGGAAGAAATCCATGCGTCATGCTCAGATGCGAGTTTCAGAGGAGGACGGGCCTGTCTTTTCCCTCTGGCCGGCTCTGTCTCGCTGGAAAGGTGGGGAAGGAATGAAACCAAGGAAGGAGGAGCGAAAGTAATAATGATGACAATAGTAATAATAATAATAATAATAATAATAATAATAATAATAATAAAGGATAATTAATAAATAAGGAAGAAAAGACGAGTTGGGCCCATGGAGCTTAATATGACAAATGACGTTTCTGTTCGTTCTCTGCCTCCCCACACCTTAGATGGACTTCCGCCGTCTCATCAGCCTGTGGTTGTCAGTAAAGCTGTGTAACCCGGGAGAAATGGAGCTGATGGGGGACGGAAAGAGGCTGTTTTTTAATGTGCTTGGCGAGATCTCCTCGATCTTGTAGGAGATGGAGTGGAAGTACTGCGGGGCGAGCTTGGCGCTGAGGGAGTTCTGCGCCGCGGCGGCGCGGCCCCCGCAGTCCTGCGGGCGGTAGCACGTGCAGGAGCACACGGACTGCAGGTCGGCCGCGTCCTGGCAGCGCGGCCGGGCCCGCCGCGCGCCCTCGGGGATGTGCAGGACCATGCTGTTCCGGTTCCCGGCCAGCGACGCCCTCTCCTCGGCGTCCCGCCGCTCGTCCTCGCTGTTCATGGTCAAGAACCTGAGGACCACCAGGTTGAGGAAGGCCCCGATGACCGTCAGCCCCACCAGGATGTACATGAAGCTAAAGGCCACGTAGAGCGGCTTCTTCTGCAGGGCGCCCTTGGTCTGCAGCGCCACGTAGTCCCCGAAGCCGATGGTGGTCAGCGTGATGAAGCAGTAGTAGTAGGCGTGGAAGAAGCTCCACTCCTCGCACTGCGAGAAGGCGGCCGCGCCGATGCACAGCGTCCCCATGCAGGAGAAGAAGCCCACGGTCACCATGTTCTCCATGGACACCTCGGTGTGGCGCAGGCCGCAGCACTTCTTGATGCGCTTCAGCAGGTAGCGCACGAAGGTGTTCATCCGCTCGCCCAGGCTCTGGAACATGACCAGCGTCAGCGGGATGCCCAGCACGGCGTAGAACATGCAGAAGGCCTTGCCCGCGTCCGTGCCGGGCGCGGCGTGCCCGTAGCCTGCGGGGTCGAGAAAACGCAGCGTGAGCAGGGGAGGTCCGTGAGGGGTGGGGGGTG